TAATTTATTTGCAATTTTCACTATTTGTTGAATAACGGATAACAAATGATTATATGATAACTGATAACAAATGATAACAGTGATGACTGATAAAGTATATGTCGCGCACGTACGCGATCGGGCGGCGGCGGCGGTGGCGAGGTGGTGGTTGTGGCGGTGGCGGTGGTGGAGGCGGTGACGGTGGTGCGGGATGCGGTGGCGGTGTCATTGTTGGCGGTGTGGAGGAAGCGGGGGTATAATATACGTCACGAACGTACGTGAGATGACGTAGGCAGCGGCTCAGGCTCAGGGCTCAGGCTCAGGGTTCAGGCTCCAGAACTATCCATTTCATACTACTAACACGTTTTCCCCGCAATACACCATGCTGGATATTTTATGAAATTCTGTCTCAAGAAATATCGTGCGCTTGTATTTCTGCGGTGCATCTAATACGAACGGCAAGATATCTTCCATCATAGAAAATATACGCTGGAGAAAATCCGGCGATATTTTAACGTAACGTGATGCAGTTAATATAATTACAACGACTTGGTTTTTTTCGCTCGGATCAACGACTTGATATTTTTCGGTCGAATCAATACCGATGTGCACAAACTTACGGTTTGCAAAATCGAGAGTGTAGCTTGTAGTTTCGAAGAGGTCAGCCGGTGGTGATGGTGGTACATAAATAAAAGCCTTATTTTTGTATAATGCTGCGTTGTCTTCAATTGATCCAGCCATATTTAAAAACACTTAAATTCACAACAAAAAAAATTTAAAGACGCAGTGACTACGTGAGCAACGGTTGAAGTCAGTACACGGACTAAACGAAAAATCAGGACTCTCTAGTCTCTATCAGTCAAATAGGTGGGGTAATTTTAAAGAATGTGCGCATGCGCAAACCTGAGAATGTGCGCATGCGCAAACCTGAGATTGTATATTGTCTCTTAAATAACAAATCGGGAGGCTGGGTGAACATTTTTAAATCTCGTCTAATTTATTTTTGTGTAAGCTCTAGTTAATTGAATAAAAATAACGATGAATTGGTATACGGTCAGGTGGGCTAGTGGGTTAAAGCCTTAAAGGTTTAAGATGGGGGTGGAGGGTTCAAAACTGTTATTTTGTAGTTTTTTCCGAGTCGGAATTGTTGCTTTGATAACATAATAACGTGATAACATAATAACATGATAAGTGATAACGGTGATATATTTTTCCGGCGACCGCCGCGCCAGCAATAGTGGGGGGTAAATATACGTCACGTACGTGCGCGACCGACGGTAGGATCAGCAGGGATCGGAGGGTCGAAAAATATTGTCAGGGATCAGCAACCCAGCATAGGGATCAGCCAGCAGGATCAGCCGTCAGAACTGTCTTTTTTATTCTACTCTCGTCACACGACTGCTATTTTTATATATTTATTATGATGTTTTTAAAACAAGATTCATAGAAATATGAATCTACTATCTCGTATATATTATAGTTATTAGGCCACATATATATATCTATATTACTATTGCTAATACCTCTAGTAATATTACATATTATATTATATATACTTATATTTATTAACATATCTCGTAGCCCATAACAAGTTACATCTTTACAATCGGGAAATAAGTGTATAACAGAGAATGATTTGTTTAAAAAAATCGTTTTAGACGAAGACATACTAAACATTACTCGTCATCAGATTATTCTAAAAACAAATAATAAATCTAAAAAAAAAAAACTACTTAGTATGTCAATCCTATCAAATAGTTCATGGAGATTCATTTATTAAACACAATATACGCATTGGATTAATTCATGGTCTTCATTGGGAAAAGGTAATATGATTATTATACCTTTGTTTTATATATTCAACTGTTTATAACTAATAAATAATAACCTACTATATTATAATACCATTGCATAATATAAAGTATTTATTTATAAGATTTACCCTTATCAGGTGTACGAGTTGTTATTCCAGCCTGTGTTGTAAAAACTATTAGAGAGAAATACCTAGAAATGAATGGAGTTTATGTTGGATTCAAAAATGGAAGTAAATTACCCAATTAAATAAAACACATTTTATATGTCATCATTTAAAATTTATAAAGAATGTTTTGATTATATTTAAAAAATATATTTTAGTATATAAAAAGTGTTCAATGTATTTTATTTAGTATTTGTTTAAACTGTTCTCCTTTGAACTAGACAATATTATAATATAGTATATATGTTACGGTGAATGATGTAAACGTGGTAAAAGACGTCATTCCCCGGTAAATGACATCATTTACCTTAGAATTGGTAAACGTTGTAAATGCAGACATTCCCAGATTATTGTCGTCAATCACCAGTTTAATTAGAGAATGATGTTTAATACTTTTATGTCGGTGTGAACGATCAGTGATAAACGTGTAGGTACCGAATAAGCTTCGTTAGTTAAAAATATCATGACGGAAGTAGATAGATAAACGAAAATCCCAACTAGCAATAACGTCGATTCTTTTAGTTTATTAGTTAGTATCAACGGGCATATTATAACGAGTTGTATTTGCTACAAATATGTGTTAACACGTTGATGGACAGTTGCTAAATATTACTGCTATAGCAGTAATATGAACAGTTGATGTCGGGGGTCATTATTCAATATTACTGCTATAGCAGTAGTATACAAACCATCCAAAATGTGTCATTACTGCTATAGCAGTGATATTTTCAATGGTATCTTATGAAAGAGGAAGTTGTTCTGACCCCGGACGTCTCAACGGGCCATTGGGCACTCTATTTTTAGCCTGTTTTTATACGTCTTTGTAATTTACACACGTATTTTCCATTTTTATTCTCTTATCGATCAATTATAATTTATTTATCCATAACTGTTATGTTTTTCTTATTTTATAAACATCATAGAACATATTCTATACGTTATATTTATAATATTAGTACGTACGCGATCGCCGTTGAAGTGTGATATTATAGTGCGTTAAGTGATGAGTGTTTACAAGTTTACATTAAAATGAATTCACGTGAAAAAATAAATGTAAATCAGTTATTAGATGAAGATTACGATTCTTATGATTCTAATATTTCAATTATTGACGATTCTGATGCTGATCCTAATTTTTATCCACCCGGTGTCGCTGAAAAAGGCTCAATTAACAGTTCACCTGATGTATCAATGGACGATCCATCAAATTCAAATGTATTAGTGATGCCTCAAATACAAAATTTATCTGATGATGAATATTCGACTGAGGTAAGTACGTCTAGTGATGAAAGTGAAAAAGATGACGAGGATTCTGAATGGGTTGATAACTACAAAACTATTTCTGATTTTGAATTTAATTCGAACTCCTCTGGAATTAAAATAAATATATTAGAATCTGCTAAAGACTCTCCTATCGAAATATTTAACCAAATTTGGACGGGCGATATACTTGAGATTATTATAAGTTCAACAAATAGTTATGGTCAAAAACTTGCATTAAAAGATCGGCCTCATAATAAAAATTCTAGAAGTTCGACTTTCAAAAATACTGATACAGAAGAAATCAATAAATTTTTGGGTTTATGTTTACTTTTTGGGTCTTCCAAATTTTCTGTGTTGCGAGATGCATTTTCAAATAACCCATTATATTATTATCCAATCGCAAAAAAAATTATGTCAGGAAGACGGTTCGAACAACTTCTGAATTGTTTCAGTGTTGAGTATTCGGAAAAAATAGTAGTTGCTGATGGCCCAATGAAAAAAATTGAACCAGTGTACACAATGTTAATTGATAATTTTCAAAAAGCTTTTTACCCACATATTGAACTTTCGTTAGATGAGTCTCTGCTTCTCCAACGTGGAAGATTATGTTTTCGACAGTATATCAAAGGAAAAAAAGCGAAGTATGGTATTAAATTCTATGAGCTTTGTTCTCCAGATGGTTACGTTTTAAATATAGAAATGTATAAGGGAAAACAATTTTCAAGTGGGGCGCTAACTTCAAAAATTGACAGTTTAGTACTAAGGCTTATGACTCTTATTTAAATAAGGGTCATCACTTGATTATGGACAATTACTACAACAGTGTTAATCTTTCGAATTTACTTTTAAATCACAAAACACACACCACTGGTTCATTGCGAAGTAACCGAAGGGGTAATCCAAAATATGTTGTTCAAAAAAAATTGAAAAGAGGTGATCATATTTGGAAACGTCAAAATAAGGTGTATGTTTCTAAATGGAAAGATAAGAGGGATGTCTTATGCATAACAACCAATTATCAACCAAAAATGATAGTCTCCAAAAATAAATATGGCCAAGAAAAACCAAAACCTATCGAAATTGCCAAGTATAATGAGTTTATGAGTGGAGTAGATCGCGCCGATCAAAAAATGATCTCTTATTATTCTTGTCCTCGGAAATCTGCAAAGTGGTACAAGAAAGTTATTTTTCATCTGTTAGACGTCGCTGTTTGGAATAGTTTTTATATATATAAACAACATTTTGATTGTCCAGATTTCAGGTTCAAAGTATATAGAGACTTACTTATTAAAGATTTAATTAAAATTCCAAAAAATACTACAGCAACTGAATTTTTTCAATTAAAAAAAAAATCAAGAAAATCAAGCCGAGGTGAAGATTTGAGAGAAGGTCATTTCGAAGAACCCATACCGTTACCACCAAATTATAAAAGACAAAAAAAATTTAAAAATTGTGTTCAGTGTTATAAACAAAAAACCAGAAAACAAACTTCCATTCAATGTCAAAAATGTAAAGTACCTCTGTGTCCACTATGTTTTAAAGATTACCATGCTGCTCAACCAGAAGGATGAATATAAAGTTCAAATTAATTAATTAATAAAAAATTAGTTTAAAATTTTAATCTAAGTATTGTATAAGTATAATTTTTCAATAATATAATAAAGTTTTTGTATTGCATTTTGTTTCATTTCATTAAATAAAAATAACTTCCCTATCTTTTTATGCATTCCTTAAAATAAATCGTAGCTTTCAACATAATAATTATAAAATAATTAACTAATAAAATGTAATACTGGTATAGCAGTAATTTTTTAATCAAAAATGTGATGTCGGGGGTCAGTACTGCTATAGCAGTACTAAAAATATTACTGCTATAGCAGTAATGAAATGTGACGTTTTAAGGGTGGTGTTTTTGAAAAATAATTAAATCAACTGTCCATCAACGTGTTAATATTATTTGTAAAAATGTATGTACTAGTTGTGGTACTAAAAAATGTGCTTGAAATGCAGCGGAAATGTGCAGTTTAAAATGTCATAGTAGGTAACCAAAAATGTACAAATAAATAATTTGTAATATGCATGTATTTTAATGTTTTTAATTAACCTATTATCTCCTTCAAATAAATGCCTAAAATAAAAAATGAAACATCCACCAACATTAATTCATTATTATAAATAGTACCTATAGTAAAAAAATCAGTGTATTATTTGAGATTTATCATCATTTACCACTAGTTTTGGTAAATGACATCAATGACCGGTGAGAGATGTACATTTGAATTTAAAATCTGGGTTTTTTACATCATTTACCTACAAAATCGAATCATTTTGGTAAAAGACGTCATTCACCGGAGAATGACAACATTCACCAATATTCATCTTTCACCGTAACATATACATAAACATAGGATCCTTAAAATATTTTTAGATACAATTGTAAAATACATTTAGATATAAAAATTACATAAATCTCTTTTGTATAGGTATTAAAATAATATTTAAATTAAAATACATTTTTAACAATATTAAAACATTTAAAATCATTTTTAATTATTATCGTTGAAAAATCTGGAATATTTTTTTGATCTCAACTCATTTATATCTGGTTTTGGAATAGATACATTATTCTTTGGTACGGTTATTAATTGATCTTGATTTTGGCAAATTAAACTTATCTTAGCCTTTACTTTTACATTTTGCATTATTTCAGCACGCTAATAATTGGTTGTAGATGTATATCGATTTTTCATAGTATAACACCCCGAAGGCTTAGAGTACACCATTTTATCTCCAATCATAGTTTTGTTTACGTTACTATTATGATTTAAAATAGCTAATATTGAACGTATATGCATACCACTGTACTTTAAATGAATCCTTTTAGGCGTGTATTTTAATCTGACGTAACATTTTGCAAGCTTTACGTTCTAAATCTCCTTTTAACATTCCTTTTTGGACAAGCTTGAAATCAATTATGTTACTACTATTCAAATCCATTCATGTATAGGTACAATATTTCGCACAAAACCCCGGAGAATCAAATTGTCCATCACCTGCTAACCAAATTTTATTAGAACTCTTCAACTCAAGAAAATTTGATTTTTTATGTTCACTCCACATTATATAATTTTGAATTATTTTATCATATGAAGTTTGAGAAAAAAATGCAAGTTTTAATGTTTCACAAAAAACTGTCATTTGAGTAAATAAAATATCAGATAGAATCAAAAATGCACCAATTAAAATATTTCCTTCGGGACGTGTTCCATTTTTATTTTGTAAGCTCCATTGGTATAAATGACCTTCTTCACAAATCGTGTTAATAGATAAAAATACACCTTGAACGAAGTTTTTAAGTTTTATTATTTTACCAGAACATATATTACAAGATTTGAATAAAACCAAAAGACTTTCCCAAAATACTATAAAACATTCATTCATACTTGTATCTATCATACTTTCACTATCTTTATCAATTGTATCGTCTTCAAAGGAGCTATTTTCATCTGACAAATAGTTGAACGACGTATCATAACCAATAGAATCTAAACAACAGTAAATTTCATTACCTATTTCACATCGGATACCCTTATCATTAACAGTGTCATCATAACTTTGTCTTGGAGATAAAGACATTAAACTCAAATTTATATAAGTGACATCGACATTTTCATCAACAAAATCTTCATCATTACCACCTTTTTTTTTTTTTTTTGTGTACTAGTTTTTTATAATTCTTTAACTATCTCTTTTTCTCTTTTTCTCGAAATTCTTTCCTGTCTATTTGAATCACTAGATGTTGAAGCTATAGAAATATCGTTTTGAGTACTGAAAATTGTAGGGACAACTCTAGGTTTTAATCTTACAACTACTTTAGTGTCCGGCATAAGTTTTTCACGTAATAAGTCGGATTCGTTAAAATCTTAGTTAGAAAAATGTTTTGAACAAATCATTGATGATTTACCTGGAACAAATTGTTTTCGCTTACAAAAAGTAGTCCACTTTAAAAATCGATCTGGTGAGGTATCTCTACAAGGAAATCTATAAAAATGAATTTTTCCCAGACCATTATTTTTTCAACTATTGCAATTGCAACTACGTAAACACTTAGTACAACATTTTAATAGCTGGGATAGTAATAATAATTAAATAAAAAAATACAAAACACAACACTATGTTGACAACGTGAGTACAGTGTACTAAATGAAAAGTATAATATTGTTATATTATAATAATACTAGTACCCGTGAAACTCGCTGTATGTGAATACCCTAGGTAGCTGAAATTCGTTTGAAGTGAATTTCCTAGGTAAGTGAAACTCGCTGTATGTGAGTACTCTAGGTAGCTGAAATTCGTTTGAAGTGAATTTCCTAGGTCGGAGACAGGACTTCAGAATACCGCAGTTAGAAAAGTCTAGTAGGCGAAACCAGTGATAACGATGTTTGAGACGTTGGTACCTCTGATTTGGTGGTTTTACACTTTGGGGGTGTCGTTTTAAACGCGTAAATAATAATCTTATAATATAATAAAAGTATATAAAAGTCCTATTCGAACGTTTAGTGGTGGGTTATTTCATTAAATTTACAGGTGTAATACACCTTGTCCCGTAGCTTGCCCTGTGCTTTTGTGCATGGAAAATAAATAAATACATTCCGAAAAGGTAATTAAGTGTCTAGTTATCAGTCATCGTCCAGTGAATATCGATTCCCGACAGAGCAATCCGCCTGCGGCGGATTGTCATACCTCCTGACGTCGAAGACGTTGTGCTGTTTAGTACGCAAAAAAGTTTAAGTCGAATCAAACGCTCGATTTTTCAAGCGATCACCATTGAAAATCCAGTTAAACGCGTTTGAACCTCCCAGGTAGGCAATCCGACTGCGTCGGATCGCGGACGATGTGGGCGTAAAGGAGAAATGTTAAACGTATTATAGAAAATGCATGTCAAACGTTAGCGAGTTGAAGATCAAAAAACTATACATAATTAATATTTTTTTTGATATTTTATAGATAGTTAGATATCGAAAACAAATATTATGCACTTTCTCTGATGACAAAATATTTAATGTGCTATTGTTTTTCCCCTGTATCTTTCAAATGTAAACAACTGAAAGGCTAAACTTATAAAATAGTGAATTCACCGTCAAAACTGAGTGAAACCACTGTATTGTCATCAATAGAATGTTCTCAGGCTATAATATAAATTGCATATCACATATGTACATTTGAATTGTGCAGAATGTTAGCAATAGCCAATAAACTATAATTGGTTTAATTGAATACTATTGTGTAATTTAATGTTCGTGTAAAGTATATTGTAATATAATTACAATATAGTATTTTGACATCATCAATCGAGCAATATAAAATTAAATGTGTGAGAAAAAAAAAATTTGAAAAATATTTTATGAGTAGTAGTGTAAGACAGGATATCAAAACGAAAACAGCAATTAATAATGATCGAATTAAATGAGAAAAAAAAAATGCAAAAAATCCGATATGTACAGTTTTGTATGGAGCCGCCTGAATTTCGCCGAACGGGATTCGAACCTGCCTACCTAACGTCGGGGAACCTATCCTAACACCTATCGACTACCGTTTGAGTTGAAAACCGTAACCAAATTTCGAGCACTTAAACCGTTTTAGAGATGCGACGAATACTATAGTAGACGTCGTTTAAGCGATACGATTTTTACGATTCGCGTGTCGCGAAACCGTAAATCACATATTAATCGTCGTTTAGAGTGTTTCCGACGTATTCCTCTACATTATTTAATCGTATACGTCTCAACCAGTGCCGCAACTAGCGGGGGGACCGGGGATGCCTAGCACCACCAAGAGGCCTCAGTTTATAATAAATTGGGGCCCCGAAATTTAAAGAAGATTTAAGTGTAAATTTGAGAGTAGGCAGTAAAGAATAATAGTTATAAGGAAAATAAAAATAATAAAAATTCTCATTTTCTGTACATATTATAGTATAATTAATAATATGACACTATAACGATCTTACATTTATAGTGATTTAGTCACATTAGGTAATAATAATTATAATAATTTTCAGTATTTGTGTGTCTATAATGTATATTGTATGTTGTAATTTTAATTTTATATTTATAAAGGTTGTTTGGTAACCTTATTGCCTGCTGCAGTTAACAGTAGACGTGATGGTTGGTGGGAAGGAGCTCGAATGATTTGATATTAATTTTGAATTATTTTTAGAAAACCCCATATAATTTCTATCGATAACAAAAATAACACTCATACACACAAAGTATATATTACATATACTATGCAGTATTATATTATATTAATATAATATTATTGATTATAATGTTTTATATTAGCTGAATTACCCGTCGTTGCCGGGTTTAAGTATAAAAAATGTCTACAGCCCAACTTTAACCGGACGGCCGCAGACCAAGACAGACGATTAATTTTAATAGTTATATAATAAATAATAATAATAATTTTAATAGGTATATAATAAATAATAATAATAATTTATTAAAATTTAATAGGTATATAATAAAAATAATAATGTATGACAACAATCTTATTACAAAATTTCTCTATA